ACATTCACATATTGATACACAGACGAGCACATTCACATATTGATATACACACTAGCACATTCACATATTGATACACACACTAGCACATTCACATATTGATACACACACTAGCACATTCACATATTGATACACACACTAGAACATTCACATATTGATACACACACTAGCACATTCACATATTGATACACACACTAACACATTCACATATTGATACACACACTAGCACATTCACATATTGATACACACACTAGCACATTCACATATTGATACACACACTAGCACATTCACGTACTGATACACACACTAGTACATTCACATATTGATACACACACTAGCACATTCACATATTGATACACACACTAGCACATTCACATATTGATACACACACTAGCACATTCACATATTGATACACACACTAGCACATTCACATATTGATATACATACTAGCACATTCATATATTGATACACACATTCGCACATTCACATATTGATACACACTAGCACATTCACGTACTGATACACACACTAGCACATTCACATATTGATACACACACTAGTACATTCACATATTGATACACACACTTGCACATTTACATATGGATACACACACTAGGACATTCACATATTGATACACACACTAGCACATTCACATATGGATACACACAATAGCACATTCACATATTGATACACACACTAGCACATTCACATATTGATACACACACTAGTACATTCATATATTGATAAACACACTCGCACATTCACATATTGATACACACACTAGCACATTCACATATTGATACACACACTAGTACATATATTGATAAACACACTCGCACATTCACATATTGATACACACACTAGCACATTCACATATTGATACACACACTAGCTCATTCACATATTGATACACACACTAGCACATTCACATATTGATACACACACTAGTACATTCATATATTGATAAACACACTCGCACATTCACATATTGATACACACACTAGCACATTCACATATTGATACACACACTAGCTCATTCACATATTGATACACACACTAGTACATTCACATATTGATACACACTAGTACATTCACATATTGATACACACACTAGTACATTCCCATATTGATACACACACTAGTACATTCACATTTTGATACACACACTAGTACATTCACATATTGATACACACACTAGCACATTCACATATTGATACACACTAGTACATTCACATATTGATACACACACTCGCACATTCACATATTGATACACACACGAGCACATTCACATATTGATACACAGACTAGCACATTCACGTATTGATACACACACCAGAACATTCACATATTGATACACACTAGCACATTCACATATTGATAAACACTCGCACATTCACATATTGATACACAGACGAGCACATTCACATATTGATACACACACTAGCACATTCACATATTGATACACACACTAGCACATTCACATATTGATACACAGACGAGCACATTCACATATTGATACACACACTAGCACATTCACATATTGATACACACACTAGCACATTCACATATTGATATACATACTAGAACATTCATATATTGATACACACATTCGCACATTCACATATTGATACACACTAGCACATTCACGTACTGATACACACACTAGCACATTCACATATTGATACACACACTAGTACATTCACATATTGATACACACACTTGCACATTTACATATGGATACACACACTAGGACATTCACATATTGATACACACACTAGCACATTCACATATTGATACACACACTAGTACATTCATATATTGATAAACACACTCGCACATTCACATATTGATACACACACTAGCACATTCACATATTGATACACACACTAGTACATATATTGATAAACACACTCGCACATTCACATATTGATACACACACTAGCACATTCACATATTGATACACACACTAGCTCATTCACATATTGATACACACACTAGCACATTCACATATTGATACACACACTAGTACATTCATATATTGATAAACACACTCGCACATTCACATATTGATACACACACTAGTAAATATATTGATAAACACACTCGCACATTCACATATTGATACACACACTAGCACATTCACATATTGATACACACACTAGCTCATTCACATATTGATACACACACTAGTACATTCACATATTGATACACACTAGTACATTCACATATTGATACACACACTAGTACATTCCCATATTGATACACACACTAGTACATTCACATTTTGATACACACACTAGTACATTCACATATTGATACACACACTAGCACATTCACATATTGATACACACTAGCACATTCACATATTGATACACACACTCGCACATTCACATATTGATACACACACGAGCACATTCACATATTGATACACAGACGAGCACATTCACATATTGATACACACACTAGCACATTCACATATTGATACACACACTAGCACATTCACATATTGATACACAGACGAGCACATTCACATATTGATACACACACTAGCACATTCACATATTGATACACACACTAGCACATTCACATATTGATACACACACTAGCACATTCACATATTGATACACACACTAGCACATTCACATATTGATACACACACTAGCACATTCACATATTGATACACACACTAGCACATTCACATATTGATACACACACTAACACATTCACATATTGATACACACACTAGTACATTAACATATTGATACACACACTAGCACATTCACATATTGATACACACACTAGCACATTCACATATTGATACACACACTAGCACATTCACATATTGATACACACACTAGCACATTCACATATTGATATACATACTAGCACATTCATATATTGATACACACATTCGCACATTCACATATTGATACACACTAGCACATTCACGTACTGATACACACACTAGCACATTCACATATTGATACACACACTAGTACATTCACATATTGATACACACACTTGCACATTTACATATTGATACACACACTAGCACATTCACATATTGATACACACACTAGCACATTCACATATTGATACACACACTAGCACATTCACATATTGATACACACTAGCACATTCACATATTGATACACACACTAGCACATTCACATATTGATACACACTAGCACATTCACGTACTGATACACACATTAGCACATTCACATTGATAAACACACTAACACATTCACATATTAATACACACACTAGCACATTCATATATTGATACACACATTCGCACATTCACATATTGATACACACTAGCACATTCACGTACTGATACACACACTAGCACATTCACATATTGATACACACACTAGTACATTCACATATTGATACACACACTTGCACATTTACATATTGATACACACACTAGCACATTCACATATTGATACACACACTAGCACATTCACATATTGATACACACACTAGCACATTCACATATTGATACACACTAGCACATTCACATATTGATACACACACAAGCACATTCACATATTGATACACACTAGCACATTCACGTACTGATACACACATTAGCACATTCACAGTGATAAACACACTAACACATTCACATATTAATACACACACTAGCACATTCACATATTGATACACATACTAGCACATTCACATATTGATACACATACTAGCACATTCACATTCGCAATCTCGTGTCTCGAGGTGTCCCATCCCCGCAACCGTGCGTCAACGGACATCGACAGCTTAGGTAAAACACAAGCGGTACATTTACTCGGCACGAAGTATAACTTAACATACAACAGAGTGAGTGGGTGAGTGAGTGGGTGAGTGAGTGAGTGGGTGAGTGAGTGAGTGGGTGAGTGAGTGAGTGGGTGAGTGGTTGGGCGAGTGAGTGGGTGAGTGGGTGAGTGGGTGAGTGAGTGGGCGAGTGAGTGAGTGGGTGAGTGAGTGGATGAGTGGGCGAGTGAGCGGTGGCGCAGCGATTAGCACTACGCCGCACGACTAAAGCCGACGGACATCCGAGTTTGATTTCCGCTCACGGCCATCAACACCGGCGATAGCGATTAGCTGGACCGGTCCCTCCTCCAGGTCGACTCAGCCTCAAATGAGTACCTGGTGTAGCGGTGTAGTAGTGTAGTAAACATCGCCACTGGGGAGACAAAGGCGGCCGGGCGTGGTGCTGGCCACCCACCCCCTCGTGTGCCGTGCCGGCCTTCAAAGGTGATGTTGGCTAACAGCACTTGCTCCTACAGACCGTCACAGGCTACCTGGGGGATCTTTGTCTTTGTGTGTTCATAGCTGCTGCTACTCGATAACAGAACTTTCCCCTACAGTCTGTTAAGGCTACACGGGGGATCTTTGTCTTTTTGGGCGAGTGTGTGGGTGAGTGTGTGGGTGAGTGTGTGGGTGAGTGTGTGGGTGATTGTGTGGGCGAGTGTGGGTGAGTGTGTGGGTGATTGTGTGGGCGAGTGTGGGTGAGTGTGTGGATGAGTGTGTGGGTGAGTGTGTGGGTGAGTGTGTGGGTGAGTGTGTGGGTGAGTGTGTGGGTGAGTGTGGGTGAGTGTGTGGGTGAGTGTGGGTGAGTGCGTAGGTGTGTGGGTGAGTGTGTGGATGAGTGTGTGGGTAAGTGTGTGGGTGAGTGTGTGGTGAGTGTGGGTGAGTGTGTGGTGAGTGTAGGTGAGTGTGTGGGTGAGTGTGTGGGTGAGTGTGTGGGTGAGTGTGTGGGTGGTTGTGTGGGTGAGTGTGTGGATGAGTGTGGGTAAGTGTGTGGGTGAGTGTGTGGGTGAGTGTGTGGATGAGTGTGGGTAAGTGTGTGGGTGAGTGTGGGTGAGTGTGGGTGAGTGTGTGAGTGAGTGTGTGGGTGAGTGTGTGGTGAGTGCGGGTGAGTGTGTGGTGAGTGTGGGTGAGTGTGTGGGTGAGTGTGTGGGTGAGTGTGTGGGTGATGTCGTTGTAGTCGTTCTGTCCTTCAAGTCTTCATTGAACGGATCTGATCTGCACACACACACACAAAGATCCCCCATATAGCCTTAACAGACTGTAGGGGCAAGTGCTGTTAGCGAGCACCTATGAAGGCCGGTAACGGTACACGAGGGGGTGGGTGGCCAGCACCATGCCCGACCGCATTTGTCTCCCTAGTGGCAATGTTAACACACCGCACCAGGTACTCATTTGAGGCTGAGTCGACCTAGGGGAGGCCCGGGACCGGTTAAGATAATCGTCACTGGTGTTAGCCGTGAGCGGGAATCGAACTCGGGTCGCCAGGTTCATAGCGCAGCGTAGCGCTAACCGCTACACACACGCTCCAGTCTCAGCAGCAGCGTCTCCAACTCCTCCTCTGAATGAGCAGCTATTACCAAATCATCGGCATACATAACGTGGTTGAGCAATAGGGAGCCATCCCTTGACCGCACCCGGGCATCGATCAGCCTCCCATTATATCTGTACCAAATGGAGATTCCCCCGGTACAGCTATTGAAGGCTTCACGAACTACGTGGTCAAAATAGATGTTAAATAATGTGGGAGCCAGAGGACATCCCTGTCGCACCCCAAGGTGTACAGGGAATGGCTCTGACTCCAGGCCACGTAGTTTTACCCGGGCCCGCTCACCATCATACACACATACACACACATACACACACGTACACATACACACACCGATCCCCCGTATAGCCTTAACAGACTGTAGGGGCAAGTGCTGTTAGCGAGCACCTATGAAGGCCGGAACGGTACACTAGGGGGTGGGTGGCCAGCACCACGCCCGACCGCCTTTTGCTCCTTAGTGGTGATGTTTACACACCGCACCAGGTACTCATTTGTACACATACACACACACATGTACGTACACACACACACACGAGCACACACACATACACACACGTACACTCACACACACGTGCACACACACACACAGACGTACGTACACACACGTACATACACGTACGTACATACACCTACACACACACGTACACACACACACGTACACACACGTACATACACGTACACACACACATACACACACGTATACACACACACACGTACACACACACACACGTACACACACACACGTACACACACGTACACACACATTTAGACTCGTTGACGTAGTCGTCTTTGTGGTGTTGACGTTGTAATTCCTTGTGAAACAATCACCACTGGGCCGACTTCAACGTCTACGAGATGTTGATTACCTCGCCTGATACGCAGGAGGTCGTGGGTTCGATCCCAACCCTGACGACGATGATCTTGCTGTGTTGATGTTGCTGTGTTGATGATGATGTTGCCGTGTTGATGATGATGTTGCCGTGTTGATGATGATGTTGCCGTGTTGATGATGATGTTGCTGTGTTGTTGATGATGTTGCTGTGTTGATGATGATGTTGCTGTGTTGATGATGATGTTGCTGTGTTGATGATGATGTTGCTGTGTTGATGATGATGTTGCCGTGTTGATGATGATGATGTTGCCGTGTTGATGTTGCCGTGTTGATGATGATGTTGCCGTGTTGATGATGATGTTGCCGTGTTGATGATGAAGTTGCTGTGTTGATGATGATGTTGCTGTGTTGATGATGATGTTGCTGTGTTGATGATGAAGTTGCTGTGTTGATGATGATGTTGCTGTGTTGATGATGAAGTTGCCGTGTTGATGATGATGTTGCCGTGTTGATGATGATGTTGCCGTGTTGATGATGATGTTGCCGTGTTGATGATGATGTTGCCGTGTTGATGATGAAGTTGCCGTGTTGATGATGATGTTGCCGTGTTGATGATGAAGTTGCCGTGTTGATGATGATGTTGCCGTGTTGATGATGATGTTGCCGTGTTGATGATGATGTTGCCGTGTTGATGATGATGTTGCCGTGTTGATGATGATGTTGTTGTGTTGATGATGATGTTGCTGTGTTGATGATGATGTTGCTGTGTTGATGATGATGTTGTTGTGTTGATGATGTTGCTGTGTTTGTGATGTTACCTTGTAACCACTCCACTCCCTCTTGCAGTCCCTCTCCCTTCAGAGCGTTACTCGCACTGCAACAACATAATCAACATCAACATCATCGTTGTCATGAACATCATCGTCTGTGGGTCTCTGTGTGAGTGAGTCTGTGGGTCTCTGTGTGAGTGAGTCTGTGGGTCTCTGTGTGAGCGAGTCTGTGGGTCTCTGTGTGAGCGAGTCTATGGGTTTCTGTGTGAGTGAGTCTGTGGGTCTCTGTGTGAGCGAGTCTGTGGGTCTCTGTGTGAGCGAGTCTATGGGTTTCTGTACGAGCGAGTCTGTAGATCTCTGTGTGAGTGAGTCTGTGGCTCTCTGTGTGAGTGTCTGTGGTCTCTGTGTGAGTGAGTTTGTGGGTCTCTGTGTGAGCGAGTCTGTGGGTCTCTGTGTGAGCGAGTCTGTGGGTCTCTGTGTGAGCGAGTCTGTGGGTCTCTGTGTGAGCGAGTCTGTGGGTCTCTGTGTGAGTGAATCTATGGGTCTCTGTGTGAGCGAATCTATGGGTCTCTGCGTGAGCGAGTCTGTGGGTCTCTGTGTGAGCGAGTCTATGGGTCAGAGGCATTCCCTGTACACCTTGGGGTGCGACAGGGATGTCCTCTGGCTCCCACATTATTTAACATCTATTTTGACCACGTAGTTCGTGAAGCCTTCAATAGCTGTACCGGGGGAATCTCCATATGGTACAGATATAATGGGAGGCTGATCGATGCCCGGGTGCGGTCAAGGGATGGTTCCCTATTGCTCAACCTCGTTATGTATGCCGATGATTTGGTAATAGCTGCTCATTCAGAGGAGGAGTTGGAGACGCTGCTGCTGAGACTGGAGTGTGCCACTAAGAGGTGGGGCCTTACCGTCAGCCCCACTAAAACTAAGCACCTGCCTGGGTATTTTGTACCATCGGACACTCCACCCCCACAACTCCTAATCGGTGATGGGGCAGTTGTGGAGAGAGTGGAGAGTTTCCCATACCTGGGCAGTGTGCTTATGACTGGCTCCAGTTTAATAGCAGAGGTCTCACTCCGAATCAGTCGAGCGGCAATATCTTTTCATTGGTTGCGTAACGCTGTGTGGAAGCTACCTGGTCTGTCGCTCCGCACTAAGCTTCAGGTCTTCTTGGCCACGGTCATTCCCTCCCTTCTCTACGCTTGAGAAACGTGGACCCCCTTAATGGAGCATCTTCGTCGGTTGGAAACATTTAGGCTGGCCTGCCTACGATCCATCCTGGGTTTAACCAGGCTGGATTGTGTGAGGAGCTCACAAATCCTTGAAAGATCTGGGCAAGGTCCCATCGGTGAGCTCCTCTGGCAGGCAAGGCTGCGTTGGCTGGGTCATGTAGCCCGCATGCCCAGCCACCGCATGCCGAAACAGCTTTTGTTTGGCCGGATCGAGGGGGCTAAACGGGCGCGGCACGGGCTAGAGAAGAGATGGAGTGATGTGGTACAGGAGGATGTGGAGCTGAGTGGACTTGCCGATGACTGGTACCAGTGGTGTCAAGATCGGCCTCTGTGGAGGAGGCTCGTGAAGGACGCTATTGGGCAGTTGGAGGCAGTTGCCCTCCAACAACAACGGAGGGCGGAGGAGCGACGCTCACAACAACGAGTGGAGCGCCGGGTGGCTAAAGCACAACAGGTTGGCACAGTAGGGGGCACAGGTGGTGCACCAGCCAGACATCTCAGTCAGTCGACCCGTGGCACCTGGGTCTGCCCCGTGACCTCCTGCCCGCGGGCGTTCGACACTTCACATGGCCTCAAGGTGCACATAGCCTGGCACAAGCGTCGTGGTGACGTCACCGCCACTTAGTGGCGAATGGCAGTTGTTGTTGTTGTGTCACTCTGTGTGTCTCTGTGTGTGTCTCTGTGTGTGTCTCTGTGTGAGTGTGTGTGTGTCTGTGTGAGTGTGTCTGTGTGTGTCTGTCTGTGTGTCTCTGTGTGTGTGTCTCTGTGTCTCTGTGTGTCTCTGTGTGTGTCTGTGTGTGTGTGTGTCTGTGTGTGGTGTGTGTCTGTGTGTGTCTCTGTGTGTGTCTCTGTGTGTGTCTGTGTGCGTGTGTCACTGTGTGTGTGTCTCTGTGTGTGTGTCTCTGTGTGTGTGTCTGTGTGTGTGTGTCTGTGTTTGTCTCTGTGTGTGTGTCTGTGTGTGTCTGTGTGTGTGTCTCTGAGTGTGTGTGTCTGTGTGTGTGTCTGTGTGTGTGTCTCTGTGTGTCTCTGAGTGTCTGTGTGTGTGTGTCTGTGCGTGTCTCTGTGTGTGTCTCTCTGTGTGTCTCTGTGTGTGTGTGTCCCTGTGTGTCTCTGTGTGTGTCTGTGTGTGTGTCTGTGTGTGTGTCTGTGTGTGTGTCTGTGTGTGTGTGTCTCTGTGTGTGTGTCTCTGTGTGTGTGTCTGTGTGTGTCTCTCTGTGTCTCTGTGTGTGTGTCCCGTGTGTCTCTGTGTGTCTCTGTGTGTCTCTGTGTGTCTCTGTGTGTGTGTCTCTGTGTGTGTCTCTCTGTGTGTCTCTGTGTGTGTGTGTCCCTGTGTGTCTCTGTGTGTCTGTGTGTGTCTCTGTGTGTGTGTGTGTCTGTGTGTGTGTCTCTGTGCGTGTGTCTCTGTGTGCGTGCGTGTCTCACACGATGTGCCAGGGAGACTGATGCACTTCTTGTAGCCCCAGCAGGCTGGAACAGGCCACGCTCGACAGAGACTCCTTCAAGTCCATCTTGTTAGCGAAGACGAGCAGTGGCACCCTCCTGCCACTCACATCTCACACACGCCGTTACCGCGGTTACCACACACTCCGGTACCATGGCGACACAGCCAACAGTAACCATGGGTACCACACGCGGCTCTCGCACTCCGATACCCAAGGTTACGTGCTCTAATTTGAGGTTCAGTAGAACATCGGAGATCGAACGGTGTTTTGTTGCCCCGGTAAACCGAACGAGAATCGGAGGTCCAACGGGCAATCGCGTCCTGAAAGAACCCATTAGGCTGAGACTCGCGGTGGCCCAACAGCGTGCAAGATGCTGGCCCAGACAATAACACCACCACCACCACCTCATCATCACCACCTCATCACCACCTTACACTCAAGCCATCAACTCTCCTTACTACAGGTAAAGAGGAGTTCAATGTTCATCTATTTCGTTTATTCCATTTATTTATTGCGTTTCTTGTGTTTTTTTTGCGTGATTTTATGCGTGCAAGTACTGCGAACTTCGTGTAAAAATGCTTCATAGGTGAGAGATTTCCTGTGTCTGGAACCAATTAATGTCATTTACATTAATTCTTATGGGGAAAATTAAATCGGTGTTCGAACGGCCTTCTGGAACGAATTAAGTTCGATCTCCGGGGTACCACTGTAACTGAAACCATGGGAACGCCACGGTGGCTAGGAGATGTTGACTACCTCGCCTGGTGCACAGGAGGTCGTGGGTTCCACCACCACCATCATCATCACGGTGGCTAGGAGATGTTGACTACCTCGCCTGGTGTACAGGAGGTCGTGGGTTCCACCACCACCATAATCATCACGGTGGCTAGGAGATGTTGACTACCTCGCCTGGTGTACAAGAGGTCGTGGGTTCCACCACCATCATTACAGTGGCTAGGAGATGTTGACTACCTCGCCTGGTCTACAGGAGGTCGTGGGTTCCACCACCACCATCATCATCACGGTGGCTAGGAGATGTTGACTACCTCGCCTGGTGTACAGGTATGTCGTGGGTTCCACCACCACCATCATCATCACGGTGGCTACGAGATGTTGACTACCTCGCCTGGTGTACAGGAGGTCGTGGGTTCCACCACCACCATCATCACGGTGGCTATGAGATGTTGACTACCTCGCCTTGTCTACAGGAGGTCGTGGGTTCCACCACCATCATCATCATCACGGTAGCTAGGAGATGTTGACTACCTCGCCTGGTGTACAGGTATGTCGTGGGTTCCACCACCACCATCATCATCACGGTGGCTACGAGATGTTGACTACCTCGCCTGGTGTACAGGAGGTCGTGGGTTCCACCACCACCATCATCACGGTGGCTATGAGATGTTGACTACCTCGCCTTGTCTACAGGAGGTCGTGGGTTCCACCACCATCATCATCATCACGGTAGCTAGGAGATGTTGACTGCGTCACCTGGTGTACAGGGGGTCGTGGGTTCCACCACCACCACCATCATCATCACGGTGGCTAGGAGATGTTGACTACCTTGCCTGGTGTACAGGAGGTCGTGGGTTCCACCACCCCCACCATCATCATCACGGTGACTAGGAGATGTTGACTACCTTGCCTGCTGTACAGGGAGTCGTGGGTTCCACCACCACCACCATCATCACGGTGGCTAGGAGATGTTGACTACCTCGCCTGGTGTACAGGAGGTCGTGGGTTCCACCACCATCATCATCACGGTGGCTAGGAGATGTTGACTACCTCGCCTGGTATACAGGAGGTCGTGGGTTCCACCACCACCATCATCATCACGGTGGCTAGGAGATGATGACTACCTCGCCTGGTGTACAGGAGGTCATGGGTTCCACCACCATCATCACGGTGGCTAGGAGATGTTGACTACCTCGCCTGGTGTACAGGAGGTCGTGGGTTCCACCACCACCATCATCACGGTGGCTAGGAGATGTTGACTACCTCGCCTGGTGTACAGGAGGTCGTGGGTTCCACCACCATCATCATCATCATCACGGTGGCTATGTCCCAATGAGAGGAGACCTGATGGCTCATTGGGACATTCTGTGTTCAGGAAACCCACCCACACAGATTCTTACTTGAAGCCTGATTCCCACCACCACCCGACGCAAAATAATTCTCTCATCAAAACGTTATACCACAGGGCTCATTGCATTTCGGACCAACATCACCTGACCAGTGAATTAAAACATGTACATCTGGCCCTCAGAAGGAACGGATACTCTGACCGTACCATCCGCCAAGCTGTTTCTCCCTCCATACAGAAACAACCACTTGATACTCCGATCAAAACCATCACACTACCATATATAGCAGGCGTTACTAAAAAGATCTCCAAAATTCTAAACAAACACAAGATCCTGGTCCGGTTCAATACAGTACACAAAATCCGTGACCTGATCCCTTCCGTGAAGGATGTCATTCCTGACTTACAGTACCCCGGTGTTTACAAATTGATCTGCACGTGTGGTGACTGCTATATCGGGGAGACGAAGCGACATGTCTCTGACCGAATTCGCGAGCACAAATCAGATTTGAAACACGGCAGAACAAATTATTCTGCCGTAGCTGATCACTGTTACAACGCTGTGGGTGATCACGATATAGTTTTCTCCGATACCAAGGTCCTCTGCAAACCCACGGGTTTTTATCAGAGATTTGTTCACGAGGCAATTCAGATCTACAAACACAGACACAATTTCAACCGAGAAGATGGTTTCAAATTAAGCAACCATTGGAAAGATGTTCTAAATCGAACCAAACATTAAACTAATTTTCAATGGTACAGTATATTTATTCAAATAGTGGCATCCCAAACTCTCACGGTGGTGTATGCTAATTCCAAGCTTTCACAGTAGTACATTTTATGCTAATTCTTTTGTCAAGGCGTTTTCTGTTTACCCCCTCACAGCTTAAAGGAGGCGGACCTGCGCTTGGCTTTCTTCACTCCAACGCTGTCCTATGGACAGTTTGGTCCCTTCACCTGATGAAGGCCACTTGTGTTGTGGCCGAAACGTCGTGATTTTTTTTTTTACCTACGTGACTTTACCGCAGGGGTCGGGAACCTATGGCTCGCGAGCCAGATGTGGCTCTTTTGATGATTGCATATGGCTCGCAGATAAAACAAAATATTCTCACTTGTTTTAATCCATCCATCGATTTTTCACTGCGCATGTCCTGTTCAGGGCTGCAGGAGCAATTGTCCATTATTTTAATTGGATGATGCTGGCCTACGTTTGCCGTTGCTGGGTAAAACAGGTAAACGCCCCCTTTTGAATCAGTCTGAGACTGCGTCTGCTCGGTCATTAGCTCAAAGCTAACCCTTCGACGAAGAAGATGGCGAAAAGAAAAAAAGACGACGAGTATCGTACATTTCAGGACGAATGGACCGAAGAATTCACCTTTGTGGAGAGAGCGGGTTCTGCGGTGTGTCTAATTTGCAATGACAAAATTACATCGTTGAAACGGTCGAATGTAAAGCGGCACTTCGACACGCGCCACGCTACCTTTGCATCAAAATACCCTGCGGGAGACAGCAGAAAGAAAGCGTGCCAAGAGCTTCTGAGCAGGGTGCAAGCTAGCCAGCAGCAACTCCGCGTATGGACCCGGCAAGGTGACTATAATTCGGCTAGCTTTGCTGGTTCTTTAGCAATAGTGAGGAACAAAAAACCATTCACAGATGGCGAGTATGCTAAAACGTTCATGCTGGATGTAGCCAATGAACTTTTTGATGATCTTCCGAACAAAGACAAGATAATCAAACGGATACAAGACATGCCTCTGTCGGCAAGAACTGTTCATGATCGTACCATCGTGATGGCAAACAAAGTGGAGGAAACGCAAGTGAAGGACATAAATGCAGCGCCGTTCTTTTCTCTGGCTTTGGATGAGTCAACAGACGTGAGCCATTTGTCGCAGTTCAGCGTGATTGCAAGATATGCTGTTGGTGACACACTGCGCGAAGAAAGTCTTGCTGTTCTGCCATTAAAAGGGTCCACAAGAGGTGAGGATTTATTCAAGTCTTTCATGGAGTTTGCTCAAGAAAAAAGTCTACCTATGGATAAACTTCTCTCAGTGTGTACTGATGGTGCTCCGTGTATGGTGGGGAAAAACAAAGGATTTGTGGCGCTTCTCCGTGAACATGAAAATAGACCCATCCTAAGTTTCCATTGCATTATACACCAGGAGGCACTTTGTGCTCAGATGTGTGACAGGCAGTTTGGCGAAGTGATGTCGCTGGTCATTCGTGTGATCAACTTTATTGTTGCCCGAGCCTTAAATGATTGCCAGTTTAAAACACTGCTGGATGAAGTTGTAAATAACTATCCTGGTCTGCTTTTGCACAGCAATGTGCGTTGGTTGTCAAGAGGGAAGGTGCTTAGCCGTTTTGCGGCTTGCCTGAACGAAATCCGGACTTTCCTTGAAATGAAAGGCGTCGGGCATCCTGAGCTAGCCGACACCGAGTGGCTCCTCAAGTTTTACTATCTCGTAGATCTGACTGAACATCTGAACCAGCTCAACGTGAAAATGCAAGGCATTGGAAATACAGTGTTATCCCTTCAACAAGCTGTATTTGCTTTTGAAAACAAGCTGGAGCTTTTCATCACGGATCTTGAAACAGGTCGTTTACTACATTTTGAAAAACTGAGCCAATTTAAAGATGCATGCACAGCAAGTGAGCCCATTCAAAACCTTGATCTCCACCAGCTAGCTGGCTGCACATCCAGTCTCCTACAGTCCTTCAAAGCACGCTTTGGAGAATTTCGTGAGCACACTCGTCTTTTTAAGTTCATCACCCATCCAAACGAGTGTTCACTGAACACAGCCGACCTGAATTACATCCCTGGTGTCTCCGTCAGAGATTTTGAAGCAGAAGTGGCTGACCTGAAGGCCTCAGACATGTGGGTGAATAAGTTCAAGTCACTGAATGAAGATTTGGAAAGAATCACACGACAGAAAGCGGAGTTGGCGAGCAAGCACATGTGGACAGAAATGAAAAAACTCCAACCCGAAGACCAGCTGATTCTCAAAACTTGGAACGCGCTTCCTGTCA